TGCAAATTTTTTTTTATATAGGATTTCTTTTTAAAGGTTTGAGAGCCCAAATTCCTTCAGGATACCTACAGAGGCCTAAAAATAGTAAAAAACTTGAAAATTGGACAAAAGGGGATTTAACGCGCCAAGGACATAGTCTGGGGCTGGCGCTGAAGGAGATGCGGTTTCCAAGTCAGTTGGGCAGGAAGCTCCTTCACTCTCCCCCTGCTCAGCTTCACAACAAACACTGGACTGAAGACAGGGTAAAAAACCTTTGCTTTTCATTCAGAGCTGAGGGACATCTTCTTGCTCCTCCTTCTCAAAAGTTACATAAAAAACCTGGACTGCACCATTGTAACGCTTGGTTTGGAATTGAGTTTTCCAGAAGAAATCACAGGCTGGGCTATAAAGCTCAGAGAGGAACGAGTCACCCTTCTCATACATGAGTGGCTGACCATGTGGAAACACCTTGGCCATTGTGCCTCCCTGGATTTTAATGCCCACAGGAGTCACACCATGCTCTAAGTACTGCTTATAAAACACTATCGCTCCCCCAGAAAAGACAGTCCACACAGCTTCACACCTCCCAGGGACTACTCCTAATGCCTTCTCTACAAAGCAAACACCAGCACTGGAAACTCATGGAGGTCATCTCCAGCTTTGGTGGACACTGCCATCACCATGTTGACCATCGTGAACACCAGAGGGGGAGGAGCGGGACCTGCAGGGCCAGAGCCAGCATCAGGTCAGGCTAGTTCATGCCGATCCGGAACAGACACCAATGAACAGATACGCTGCTGGCACCACGGCCTGGCAAGCAGATTCTGCTGTGTGACCACACATCTTCTGCACATGCAGGATGGCTTCACCTGACTACCTCTGTGGCCGAGTTTGAAACATCAAAAGAGGTTCATGCCCTATGCAAGGCTGTATACCCCCATTTCATGGTCTAGAGAAAAGAGCAGTCAGAAATTATGCAGAGAGGGGGGACATGGAATAAAGTGGGCTTGGAAGTGGCACAAAACCATACCTCAAGGTATCCATTCCCTAATTCCTCTCCTGAAACTTTAATTAGGGCTCATAACAGCAGGGGAGCATGTGGTTACAGCTCTCTCTGAACATCCACCAGGAGCAGGAGGAGGAGGAGGGGGGAGGAGGAAGGAGTCTCCTGCAGCCAGATGTTTAGCTGCAAGCAGGACACATCAGGGCCGTTTCACAAAATCTGGATCCCGACAAGCAGGTTGTAGGATCCTGGGGATCTCACAACCCACAGTCTGTACAAGGTGTATCCAACCGGAGCTTGTCTCCTGTCAAGCAAAAATGGGTGAAAATGTCAGCCAATTAAGCTTTTTCCACCCACATCACATCAGGTTCAAAAGCCAACCAGGATCCCAGCAGAGCTCTCTGGGAAGCCTCGCTTCAGCAGATCTGAACCCTTAATGTTAAAATGTTACAAAAAACGGAACTGCTGCGTGGGTGCCCCAAAGCCACCCTGTGAATATTAATCGCTTGTGCATATTGAATATAATTGTCTCTCCAGTATTAAAAAGCTCTCCTTCTCAATTAGTGGAAAGTGACTCCCACAGTTCAATTTAAGGTTTAAGTTTGGAAGGGAGAGATTTTCTTTTCTTTTTCTTTAATGTAAACCATGTACTGGTAAAGAACCCATGGATAAGGCATTATAACAGAATACATACACCTGTGATTCTGGCATCTCCTTTCTGCAATACATTCAAGGATGCATTTTCCCAGTAGCAGTGGTCAGTACACCACAAAAATTACAGCCACTGACAACTTCTAATCAATTTAGCCTGTACAGGAAATACAACAATGTACATATAGCTGGACATACATGTAACAGGGGCTGGATTCAGGAATCAAACACAAGGGCACAAGCCTATTGCCGCGGTCTCAGACTTACCCTGCGCTCAGCATCTCCTGCTTTCAGAACGAATTTTGGGAACTAGACTAGTCAAAAGCTACCAACAAGTGGCCATCAGGACCCTTTAGTATTTCTAGCCCCAGAGCAGGTGAGACTAAAAAAATCATGCAAATATCCCAGCTATGACTTTCCAAAAAACTGAAAAAACCCCACTGGCAAACAAAACCATATTCTGGTGAGAACAGTGATCTGGGCAGAAATCTCACTCCTGGCTATGAGGCTCAATTAGGTGACTTTGAACAAGTGAGCTACCTCTGCATGGTTTAACACAGGGACAGTGACAGTTCACTGGCCTGGAGGTCAAGAGGGAAAACTGTGTCCAACACCACATTGCACTTGGCCCTGGGTTACCTTTGTGTGGTGCCCCTGTGGCCCTAAGACATAACTATTATTTTGTGGGATCAGGATGGGGGGAAGCAGTTCAACAGGCTGGGAAAAAAAAGTGAAAATTTTGCCTCAGTCCACTAAATTGTTTTTATAGAATGAAATGTTTTACAGCATACAGACATGTATGGCAGGCTCTGGGGCAATGCTCAAGGTGATCATCAAGAGTGTGAAGCCCATTGAGAAAGTGTTGAAAGACTGGGAAGGACAGAGGGAAACAAAATTCCCCAAACTGTGATGAAGTACCAGCTGGCACAGGCCAACACAGTGCCACGAAGAACATTAACAGCAAAGCAGTAAGGCCACCAGCTCTACATCTCAGCTTCCACCATCTCAAGTAGGGTAACCATCACATTCCACTTCACACCAGGGGCGTTCAGTAAAGATGTACAAAGTGCTGAGGTATTATCAGACTGGGTACCTGATACCAAGACAGGCTGGTAGCTTCCCTCCTCTCACCCCATCCAAAACCATCTAATCAGGTTCCCCAAGGAACTAGTCCTTTTACTTTGTGTGCAAATTCAGACTTAGTTTTCACTCTGCCTATTGAATACATAATGATAGTCATTTCCCTAAGCTTGCTAAAGGTAGGCTTGGGCTAACATGAGAAGTTCACTGGTGACAAGTGTCTTACACTTACTGTATGCTGCTAGGATTAAAGAGTTAGAAGGAATTTTGACCTTCCCAAAGCTTTAATTTTGTTGAATTTATAAACGGTAATAATCACTGCCGAGACTCCTTATGGCCACCATCTCCAAGAGTGAATCTACATCTAGTGAAACCAGCTCCCCAAAGTGATTTCCCTGGGCATAGCTGAGGCCTTGCAAAATGCTACACCAACTCGTGACTTTCACTAAGTGCCTCAAAGGAATTTTTCTAATGCCAAGATAGACACCAAGAAGAGAAACGAGTGCTTCGCTGTTCACCAGCGTCACTGTTCTCTTCTTCTTAAATATACTTGAAAGAGGGCTGGAGGCAGCAGTTACACCTTACAATCTTCATGAAAGCTGTTACGTTCAAGGCTGCCAAATAACATCCTTTTTTTTTGCTTCTTGTTGTTCTCTTGCTTTTTATCCTGCACTGCCTTGATGGAGCACCAAAGGGTTTTTACGGTCACACTGTGAAAATACCTCCAAAAATAAAGAGCTGATTTTGAATTACAAAGCTGTTGTTGCGGGACGCTGCAGCATCTGGTTTAGCATGTCATTTTTATATTTAGAAGCAGCATATCTCCACAGACCAAGCAGAGCCACTAAGTCACTCAGCAATCCCTTCCCATCAGCTCTCACAAGTCAGTGCCAGCCGATGAGGGGGGGACATGCATCTCTCACTCTCCAACAGCCCTCCACAGCTCTGCAGCCCCATACCTCCTCTGCAGAACCCTGCAACCTGCCAGACTTACGCTGCCCAGCCTGGTATCTCTAACTCTGGTGTCCTGCCAACAGCTCAGCCCAGCAGCAGGATGTGAGCCTGCTGGCCTCTGACCTTGATGCAATATGCTGCTTTTTTCTTTTTCTGGGTCACGCGGTGTGGGCATGGCATATGCAGGAGAAACCATGTAATAAAATCAGGGAAGCTGCCAAAGCATGCAATTTGGCACATAGCTCTAACTTGCACCGTCAGATTGTTCTGTCTGTGTCCCCTGGACATGTTTCTGAGCCAGTGCCCACAGCTAGAAAATAGCGCATGTAAAAAACGCCGCAGACAGCCTCTTCCATTAGGCAGCTGGACCACTGCTCTGAAAAGGTTCAGCACGCTAACCAAATGAACTTAAAGTACATGCGCTATGCCTGCAATGTGTATGCCACACACGGCTTGTACAGGTGGGCAGGATTTGTAGCTGCTTGTTCCCCTTAAGAGCAGTATGCCACTTAACTGTAAGTACAATTACTGTTTGCAGTGAAAGGTGGTGCTGTGTAACTTGATCAGGCAGAACACAGCCAAGAAAAGCAGGGCAAAACATAATAAAGATCCAACAGCAGCCCTCAAAGCAAAGGCCACAGGATGGGTGATCGGAGGCTAGGAGGGGCACCAGGCAGAAAAGCTCATCTTGGCTCTGTGCTGTCTGTTAAAGGATGAAGGATATGACGTCCTCCCTGGCTAGGAGAAGCAGCATCTTCTCCATACATCCCCCATCATTTTTCAGTTCACAGCGGGTGAGCACAGCAGCTTGCAGGACTGGCAGTCTCCTGCAAGGGAACAGAACTGTCTCTGGGTGATGTTTTGCACAGATGTGAACTTTGCTTCCAGCCCTGAGAGCCAAGGAGTGCTTGCATGTGTGCAGGCAGGGGAGGGCGATGGGGCAGGGAGGGCAGCAAGGGGAGACATAACCAACGCGCACAAGCTCCCAGAGTGGAGTGATCAGTTTTGGCAGCTACCCTGGGTAAAAAGGCACCATCAGCACAGCAAAACACGCAGGAAAATCTTTAGCTGGCAAATACAGATTTATCTTTTCCAGAGGCAGTGAAGAGTGGAAAAGGCCCAAACACAGCTGCAGATAAGGAAGGGAACAGTGATGGGAACAAGGCAGCTCTGGAGGCTCGTATAGTTCATCTCTCTTCTGGACACAGCCCTCTTCTTGGAAAGGGGGTTTTGAAGGAAACGAGAGCCTGGAAAAACCTGGAATATCGTTATCTACAGACACAGCTTAGCAATGCCACACAATTCCATTTTACATAAAATAAAACTGCCTTACCTGAGTAGTTTTCGCCCTTCTGCCTTGCATGCTGTTACTATGGCTAATTTGTGGGTTGGTGGCCCCTTCAGAAAGACAGTGGGATTTCCTACAGGGCAGAGTATTGTAATTACTGTAGGAAGGCGTATCCTCAGCAGTAACCGATACCATCTTATGGCTCCCTATATCTGGGATGTCGGACACTAAATTCCGGCAATACCCTCCAAAGGCATTTCGCGAGCTGCCATTGACGGTAGCGCTCGGGGTTTTGGGGGAATACAAGTCACTCATAGAGCTGGCACGCTGGCAGGCGACCAGTCACTCGTCTCTGTCCCCTGAGTGGCCTCAGCATCCTTCTCCTCGGTCAAGCCCAGGATTTCCTCGTTGCTCGTTAAATGCTCCTGGCTGAGGTCGGAAAGTGAAAACTCCAGGCTGTCTTCACGCCAGATGTCAGCCGATTTGGAGCGCTTCTTCTTGAAGCTGGCTGTCTCCATGAAGTTTGTCCCGTTGGCTGCGTATCGATGTGACCTCCCATCGCCCTCTGCCAGGAACGGTGGCTCGTCCCCATAAAGCCTGCTCTCTTCCGAGTCGGGCATGCTCTGGACGGAAGCAGCAGTGAGGACAGTGCTGCTGTCCACGCTGGGGGTGACAGAGGAGTCAGTGTGGTAGGAAACGGGCCGCAGGCCCATGTCCACACGGTCCACCCAGATGGGGCTTCCAAAGTCATCTAGGTTGGCCTCCTGGGCGAAGGGCTCCAGGCCATTCTCCGCGAGGGACTGGGGGATGCTGGGGGTGCTGCTGGAGCGGGTGCTCACTTCCGAGTTACGATGGATAATTTTTCCAGAAGAAGCGTGTCGCGTCCGGCGAGAGGCTTTATTGGAGAGGCGAAGCGAGCGGGAAGTGTGCTTGCGGCCCAGGCTGGCATGCTTGTCCCCGTAGAAGGCGTGCTCCACGCTCTGGCTCTCCGCGTTCCCCATGGCGTCACAGTCTGAAAGGGCAGAGAGTGGGGAACGTTAAAGGCGGCAACCAAACACGCAGGCGAGACACATGGACACCCCAGTGCACCCAAAAGAGCTTTCTTTATTTTATTTTTAATAAACCTGCCCCAAAACCTACACCACAGCTTCCACCGTGTTTCAGAGGACATGCTTTAACAGCAGCAACTAATCCCACAGAATTAATTAAGGGAGCCAAGGACCGTACCAGGAAACTCACAAATACAACTCAGTTAAGTCAGTACGTAGGGAAAAGCCAGACAATAGCTATGCTGGTGTAAATGAAGAGTGTAGAAGAGGGAAGGATTGAACCTTGAAGTTTGGTCCAAACTGGAGCCAGTTTACCACCAAGGTGCACTGGCAATCTCAGCTCTGCACACATTCACTTGACTCTTCCCATTGGCTTCGTAACTCCAGCCAACACTACAAACTCAAAAAATCAACAGCTCTTGTTTATCTGCATGTAACAAGATGCCAAAAAGTAGATGGATATATGCCTTTATATGAGATTTCACTTTATTTTTTTTTTATTTTTTTTTTCCCTAGGAACTGCAAATTGAAACACCAAATAGCAAAGCACAAATTCAAGTGTTCGTCAGGGAGCTAATGATAGGTTTGATTTCTGGAACAAAAAACAGTGCAACATTAAGCAGGTACAGAAAGACCCACACAAGAAAGCCACATTATGAAAAATTAATTAGCATGAGTGACTCAGACTATGCAAAAATAACCTTTCCTTCCCACTCACTCTGAAGCAGATAGCTAGATCTAAGCGCTTTGATCTAGCAAAGAGAAAACTGAGCTGGAATGCAGGGACTGGGTTTCTGTCCCCCATCCCTGTACCTGGCCTCCTGCATTATTCAGTTGCACACGTCCCACCGTGAAACAGGTTTCCCTTACAGAAGATGGAAGTGATGATCTAGATTCAACCTTGGAAAACACTTTGAGGTCTGTGATCTCACTCTACAAATGTCAGAGATATTTTATTAGTAGTGTTGGCTCCTGGCCAAAGATCAAGAAGAAGAACAAGGAAAGCAAATGTTAAAGTAGGTGGCCATTCAAAATTAAACAGGAGATCTTGAATTACACACATGACAATTATATCTAGATAAATAGTCCATATATCTTGAACAGAAATTCCAAGACAAAACTTCCTCATTTTGAGGTATATCTGTTAGTCTTGTTTGACCAAAAAAAACCAAAAAACCTGCCCTGACAGTAAAATAATCTGGAGTTTTTCATTTCACGGGGCAATTTCCTCTCCTTTAACAGGATGCGCTGATGGGTATTGAGCTGAAAGCTGACAGAACGAACGTGATCGTGCATTTTCCCTTGCTATCTAAATATACACTGTCACTGCTGCACAGAACTGAATTAGCCCTACACAAATTATATAGAAAGCAAGGAATCCATTGTGCTAAACCCATGCACAGCACTTCTGCCGTAGGCTGCCCTGGGCGCATATGGTAGAATTGAACTTCTACAGTGACACTTCTGACCACAGGACTGTGCTTCTCTAGTCTTCTACCCAGCTAAGTAGGTTGTGTCTGAGGCTATAAGTCTGCTCAGTGCTGGAGCAACAGGCACCTCCATAAACATCTGGACATTTCTGTATCTAAAATAAATATAATTGCATGTCAAGTAAACTATACCAGGAAATAACCTACATCTACTGAAATTAATAGCTGAACTCCCATTGACTATTGTGAGACCTGGTTATCATGCATAGTTCTGAAAAATAAATGCACTGAACACAGGGCAGGTTTTAATCTAAAAAAAAAATGACAGCATTATAAATCTCTAGACAGGGTTTATTATTCCTTAAAAGCTACAGCCCTTTGATATGGACCAGACTGAAAAACAAATGTCAGATAGCTTTTGCTTCTAAAACATTTTATAGCAAAAAAACTACATTTTGTCTTCCAGACTGATGTCTCAAACCAGACCTCAACACTCCCCATCTTGCAAAAGAAACCCTCTTGGAGTAATGCTTTTAGCTGCTTTGATTCTGTGATTCTTGCTAACCACACTTTCATTCCACAGGATTTCCACCGTCTGCAAAGCCCATCAGAGCATGCAACCATTTATCCCCAGTCTCCAGCCACACAACCATCACTTCAGTACCTATCTATGGAGAAAAAGCCCTCTTGAAACCCTGAATGATTGAAGAATGGCTCTTTACCTTCAGAAACAGAGCTGCCGAAGGGCAGGAGTGTCCCCCACACACCACACTGCAAGGCAGGATGGCTACAGAAAGCAGCCCCGTGCCACCATCTCGAGGTAGTCTGCATGCACACTGGGCAAAATTTGACCCAGCCAAAAAGTAACAGAACCACAAATGACTGGGTGCAGAAAGGAGTAGCAGCTCAAGCTGCACCTGTGAGGAAGTAACGCTCCTAGAAAACACTCTTCACGGAAGAATGAAAGTCTTTTCTGTGCAGAGGGTGGCAGGAATGTTTATTGAGGGATTTCACACAAACTATCTGCTAGATACTGGCAAGAGGTGTCAGACTTCAAAGTAAAGAGCTGTCCCTTTTTAATTCCGTGGATTGGCACTTTAGGTGAGGATGCTTTGCAAATGGCTGTCTGTCCTAGTGATTAGCCCATACCTCACCCCTGCACCCAGGAAGGATGACTGAAGAGGCCTTATCCTAGAGCCACTGATTTCCCCCACATTACATTCCAGCTGCAGTGATGCAAGACAGTGCCATCCCCGCGGTATGTCACCACCCCCTGCTAGATGCCAGGAGATGAGGGGCACAACAGGCTGAGCCCACCTCAAGTGGGGATGGCTGCTTGTGGGGTGCCCGGGACAAATGGCTCCCCCTGGAAGGGACCCTCCTCCCCTTCCCCCCCGCCACCTTCTCACCCCCATTTTTGCCTCCCCTCTGCATTTCTGTCTGAGCATTTCCACCAGCTACCCTCAACCAATTCAGGTGCTCCTGCAGCTGAGTCCACGAAACAGCAGAAAATAAACCCAAGGGGGAAAAAAAGGGGGAAAAAAACAACCCAAGACTTTATTTGTTTTTTTTTGCTGGAGTAGTGATTTGAATTGGCACGTGCCAGAGGCATCACAAGTGTCCCTGTCTGGGGACGCAGCAGGGCAGGGAGGGGGCAGCACAGCTGCGGGAAACGTGGGAGCTGGGGAAGATGGGACAGCAAGTGGCACCTCCCCCACTTTTTGGCAGCAGTGAGCTGTTAGTTCAGCTTCAGGCAGATGTGGAAAGGCAGCCCTGAAACATGTGCATTCGCCCTGAAGCAGATGCCGGAGTCCTGGGGGAGCAGGAGCAGGCACTGGGCAGGGGAGGGGAGCCCCAACCTCCCCCTCCCAGAGGCACCGGCAGACACCCTGGGGCACAAACCTCTGAAACTGCTCCAGCTATGACTGCCAGATGCTGCCTGTCTACAGCTTAACTGAATTTAGCACACTCAATGAAAAAAATCTGTATCAAATTAAGAAAATGAGTAATGTTAACGGGAGTTGCACACAAATGCTGGCAGGACAAAGGCTCCCCTTGTTAGCTCACCCGCCGAATCCAAAGGTGACCATTAAAGACCTATCAAGGTACCACCAGGATACAACATAAATCAAGTGTGACACGTCTTGATGCTTTAAACAGGCCTGTCGCGCTCAACGAAGGATTGTGACGTGCTGAAAATCTGTTCTGAATTATTCTCCGAAGCTAGCAGAGATTAGCACACACAGACCATGCACTGCAAGCAGAGCTAGCTGGAAATTTTTCAGCAGAAAATGTTGATTCATCAAAACCCAAACTTTTTGTGGGAATAGACCACTTTCGATGAAAAGCTCCTCCGCTCCAAGAGGGAGAGATTTGACAACCAAAGTGGGGAGACAGGCATGTCTCCTGGATGAGACACCAGTCCGGTGACTCAGTTGCTTTCCAAAGACACGTAAGATTGAGATTCATATCTGCAGCCCAAGTCAGACAAAGAAGGGGTGACAACTTGTTCCTCCATATCCTTGAGAGCCTGACCGTAGAGCTCTTGGCTGCTCTGGGAAAGGGTCCTCTCTCCCAGAAGATGTGCTCCTTCCTGGTTCAGAGCAGGAAAAATGTCAAAATTGTGGAAGTCTTCAAGGGACCAGGAAAGTCACCTTTTAGCCAGTTTGCACATCAAGAGACAGTACATGGATTGGAATAGTTTGGTGTTTTTTAAAAACCAAAACTTAAGATTGATATCAACATTAGGATATCAGCAGGGAGAGCACAAATGCTGCAGGAAAGCTTTGGAAAAAACAGTATTCCCTACATCAGCTACCCTAGGCAGACAGACTGAACTTTATCTGAACTGCTGAGTTTTTGCTGGATGAGTCTCGTATAAGATGGTTACACATAAAGATGATCACCTTCTAGATGACCACTGATGATGGCCCCATCAAAGAATATAATTTTATTTTAAAGCAGTAATTTTGCTTTATCTTCCCTTTCCCCAATATTAAATGTATCTTAAAATAATTACAAAACCAAAGTACTCGTTTCAACTAAACCTAGAGTTACTAACCCTTGAACTTGCAAAAAGCTGGGCCTTTAGATTCCAGAAGAAAATCTGAAATATATTAACTTTCCACCCAAATTTGAAGCACCTCGGAAGACAACAGATTGCAAATTTAAAATTAGATTTTAGTGGGAGGCCCTGGTGACGAATCTGTATTTTTCTCCTGGAGCAGAGCTCAAAGGCTGTGAGAACCTTAACAATGATTAAATCCACAGCGAGCAATGAGCCTACAGAAATAAAAGATTTTTACTGAACTCATAAGAACCACACAGAAAAATGTACAAGACTAATAACCAAGTGTGAACATGCACACTTTATTGTAATTAAAATGTGCTTTTTTCAAAAGGGCAAAAAGAGGCTGAAATTCCACGCTAAGCCTTTGAGTTTCTCGGAAACTCCAGCAGCATATTTAATTGTTTTCAAATCAGAACCTTTTAACCAGCTATTTCTTCTTTGGAAGCCGCTCT